ACATATAAATACTCGTGTTATTCAACAATTGTTGATCAATATTTATTGGCCGAGAAATCGAATTCTTTTTGATTGATAAAAATTCATCAACATTTGTATTAAAATCCCATGTATAATCGCCCGATGGGCTTTTAATAATAAAACAACCGAAGCTTTATTCGTAAATCCAATTAATTTTTTAATTTTCATCGCATACATTCACTATTCTAACAAAGACTATTAATTAATTTCTCAGTTACTTAAGCAATTAAAACTTTATTATAATACATTTTTCGATAATAGACGACTGATTGGAATCTCAGCTTCATTCTATTTATGAAATTTATTTACCGATGACTCGCTCCAACTACTCACTCCGATGAATTGTAAATTTGTGATTATTAAGTACGATGGGACTTGTTGTTTTTCGGCGCGTGCGCGTCTAATTTATGACGAGAAAGATGAAAAATCGAAGTGCCATCCTTCTCAAACGATTGCGCTACATGCTGCGCTGCCACAAAAGCAGTTATATCTTTTTACAAGAAATACGAGCTCAAAAATCAAACTCGCCCACGCGCATTGTGTTATATTCAATGGCGCGGCTTCCCGCAAAATCTCTTGAGATAAAACGCTTTATTACTTTTTTTCCTCTTTCCTTTCTTTGGAAAAGGCAGCAAGATGAATCAATCAATCACCGTAAGTACTCAATTTGGCGCAATCTTGATGGGAAATTAGCGTTTTGTTCTTGTAAAATCAATGTACATGAATCGTGAAAAATTCTTTCACAAAAAACTTTGATACGGAGGTTTGAAAATTTCTATAATTAACCACGTACTTTATTATTATCTGACGCCACAATTTTCTACAACATTGACACAAATCAACATTCATAATTATTTTAATAAGCAAATGAAATTACAATACCCATAAAATCAGATTTTTCAATGCTTTATTGATATATCAAAAGTGCAGGATAATTGAACGAATAAAGAAATTTTAGCTAGAACAAATAGAGTGTAATGATCAATTTTAATATACACGTAAATAATATTTCCTTATTTATTTGCAAAATAAATAAGAGGTTCATCGTGCTATTAAATATGAAAATTGCTCTTGCATTTTAATGTTGCAACATTTAAATTCTATTTATTCTGCAGACTCTAAACAAAGATGTTGTTTTTTCTTTCTTCTTGAAAATCTTCTTTTAAAACTATCCATCAATTTAACTTTAAATAATAAAATCTATTTTACATACAACAATGATATACGAACAATAAAATGGAATAAAAGAACGGTGTAAATAATATTTGATAGGTTTCATGTGGTATGTCGTTAGTCCTTTCTAAGCCGCAGTATTAAAGAATAAGCTGTGTCATTCATTTGTAATTTATTATCATGATTTATTTTCATAATGAGATATCGTGCAGTATTTTTTATATTTATTTAAATAGTTTTGTCCACTTGCTAAAAAAAAAAAATCACGTGCAAAAGAATTATTAGAGTTGGCTAATAATATTTATGTAATAAGAAATTACACAAATAAGAATTAATCTGCCCGTGGGCAATTACAGTGTGAGTATTTTAAAAAAAATTTTCTATATCGTATGCTTATTATTGATAAATAAAATATGATTTGTCTTTTATTTTTCAAATGTTTTTACTCTTTTTCACGACAATGGCATGATAGAAAATCCTTATAATAAGTAGGTGATTATTAAATATTGTGATGAAATATTGAAAAATTTTGTCCGTTACGATTCAAATTTCATATTTTGTAGTTTTATCGTGTAACGACATATTTTGAAAAATATTTATCACTCATTCGAATAATAATAACGTATTTCAATAAGAATTATCAAAAAAAAAATAAAGAAAAAAAAAAAAAAAAAAAAGAGGCTTTCATTATATAAGCATTAATATTTATTACATTACTTTTTTTTATAAATATTACATTTTTTTTGTTCTGATTTGTCAATTATTATGTAATTTAAATTTAATCGGAATACAATTTTTAATGATGAACTTTAGAATTACTAATACAGAAGTGAATAATTTTTTGTTATTTATTTGTACACTCAATCCAACAATGGCCGATAAATTTTACTTGAATTAAAATGCATAAAATCTTCTTTTCTTTAGTACCACGAAGCGGAATTCAAACAAAGAGTCATATAAGAGCCAACGAACGTTTATTTGTTGCGCTTGCACATTCGTGATCGGTCGCTCGATCATCATAATCGCTCAATTTTAAATGTAATTTGTGCGTAACCTTGTAGGGAGGAGAGGCCATACGAGATCCTGATTTCCTGTAACATTCAGCTCGCACCTCATAAAATATCAATTCTAAGCGTAAAAATGCTCGAGACGAAACTAACTGCCTTCCTCGCTCACTCCTTTATTCTTCATTATGCGAATAAAAGAAATGTGTGTCTGCGTTCCATTTTGTAAAAAATGTAATCGGACGATTTGTGCGATGCGACACATCTAATTGTCAAAAGCGATACGTGTGCGATCGTTTTTATTCCACAGGAGAAAGCAATAATTCTTGTGCGCGTTTTTCATTCGTAAATCGGACGTTTGCGATACTTTCAAGTGAAATACAGTAAGTATATAGTGTTTTATTGTCGAATCTCTCATCTTTTGTAATAAAAATTTTCACATTATTTATCATATTGCATTTAAATATAATACTCCAAAAGTACGAATGATGTATGAAAAGTTTATATAAATAGTATAATATCGTTTAAAATTAGATGAATTTGTGTAATGTGCTATAATAATACGACATTAAATCTTTTTCAATCGACGGTTCATATTAATTGGAAGATAAATGTTTCACTATTCGTATGCATTTTGTTGCAACAATTTATAAAATAATTTTATTTATCTTGAGAGAATTTTACAAAAATGATAGTAATAAAGTGTTTTAAAATATTAAAATTTTACAAGATGTTCATATAAAATAAAAATATATATTATTTTCATAAAAAGAAGGCAATAACATTTTATTAAAATTAAAATTGTAAAATCGAACGCTCTCATTTTATCAATAAAGATAATAATTTTAAATATCATTTAAAAGCACACATTTTATTTACATTTTTCCATTTAAAGTTTTATTAGCTTGCAATCATTATGTAATCCATTTAATTCATACACAAAATCTTAAACTATATAGAGGAACAAATGGCAAATCAAACTTGTCACCGAGTGGATATATCTTTTAGTTGCAACTTCTTGAGTACAAAGTGGATAGGAACACACTTTAGTGTCTTTTTTGTTTTTTTTCTGTTTTTTTTTTTTTTTTTGCACACTCGTCCTCATTCGTTTACATCTTTCTTTTTACAATATCCTGACTCTTCATAAACTTGTATTATTTGCCTTTAATTCGTTGAGAGTGTAGTGAAAAAAAAAATGCCGTAAGAGTGACTATAAATATAAAATAAACACATATGTAAAATATATTCAAAGGGCGAATTAAATATATCGTGTTAGGAGATAGATGGAGTATCGTCAAATTTATGAAATCCTGCTTTTTTTCTAATCGTATGTATGCACTGATATTATAGTAACATAAAAGCTTTAATTTTAAATGAAATTGTGCTTTAAATTAATCAACCAAACGATATACGTATAAATTGAAAAAGCATGTTTACGAATAAATAATTGATGTATTTCAGGAATATTTTTTTTTTGCTTTTGAAAGCTTATCGACCTCGATATCGATCGTAATTATTTATCTTTCAAAGTAAGATGTAGACAAATAAATTAGACCAAACGTTTATCAATTATACATCCCATAATTAGATAAGGAGGTAATTATAGTCACAGGCAAGGCGATAATTAAATTTATTATAATTAATCGGATGTTACCAAACACTTGGTAAATCATAATACTAATATGAATATTAAAAAATTAAATCCAATGGTTACTATATTTTTGTTTGGTCGGTTCGTTATTAAATTTTAGAAAAGTAAATTTCAGGAAAACTGTCGTATTTTAATTTAAAAAATTACTAGTCACTTGTTTATCATATATCATTAATTCAAAGTTGAAATATATTATCGATTCTTGATTCTTTATAAAAATTTATAAAATTTACGAGCATTGATTTACGAGGACGGAAGTATAGTAATCATTAGTTGTTAATTAAACTGTAATCGTAGATGAAATTGATGGGCGTTAAGTGCCTCTAATTGCCATCATAATATTATTTCTAAAGTAAATCTTTCAAAATAATTAGTATATCCAATCATTTCGTTCAAAATAATAAAATAAAAATAATGTCAACGTCTCTTTAAATATTTAACTTCCACCGATTACATACATCTCTTTCGAAACAGTAAAAAAAAAAAAAAAAAATCCCGTTATTCTCAGTAAACGCATTATGCGCAAATATTTTTGTTACAGAAAAGAAGACCTGTGCGAAAGTTTGCCATCATCGCAAAAAGCTCATCGCCGCTCGACACAATGACAGAAGGAAGACAGATATAGAGAGAACGAGAGAAGGAGGCCCTGGCCCAGGCAAACTTCCATTAACAGACCGGAGAAAAGGGAAAAAAGACAGAGAGATAGAAAAAGGGAGAAAGCAAGAAAGAAAACTGAAGTCGAACGAACGGCGAAGCGTCCTTACGAGCTATCCGAGACGCAGAGTAAAATAAAAATCCATAAAAACGTTCGCGAGCACATAAAAGAAAAGAGCAAAAAAGAAGTAGTAGCAAGTTGCCAGTGTCCCCCACCCGTACGATATCTCGCTCGCACGTAAAAACAATCGACTCCGTGAAAGCTCGTCGACAAAGGAGCCACTCTTTTCGCTTTGACCTCGATAGCGCGTACACAACCCCGAGTGAGAGACTCAAGGATTATTGGGACGATTATTGTATTATTCGTCGGCGACAAAGCCTAAGCGAATAGAACAGACGCAGTGGTAACGGATTCCCAATGAAGTAAATAGCAGCCCAGCAGCTGAATTTATCATTGATTTAGCCGCGAGTGATTTGAAAAGAGAGGAAAGAGATAATAAAGATATCACGTGGAGAATTTCCATGAACGAGGGAGCTTATGGGGTTTTATGCAAATGTGCGCATGGATGGCTGTTGGAAAAATTGTACAAGGCATTGTGATTATGGAAGCGGTGTAGTTGTTGACTGGCTGTTGAGGGTCGTAGTTGATGAACAATGGCTATTAGCGCGTAGCTGAAAAGCATTTGTGAACGTAATTATCTTTTTTATTCCTTTATATTTTGGTTGTGATACTTTGTTTGCGACACGTTGGATATAAATGATACGTTTGCAGAAATTATCAGTTTTATTTATAATCGTCGATTGGTATTTATCATGATTTTAAACGTTTCTTAGAAAATGCAGAAAAGTTCATTTAATACTAATTCTCTTATCGTAATGATTTTATATAATTACCATGTATTATTAAATTATTTCAAAGCAACAACGCAACGTTCGCTTCATTAAGTATTTACTAATTGCTTAGAGATTAAATTATCAAGCCGATTTTATCATTTATAATTTTATCTAGTTATTCAATAAAATGATTATTTCTAATATTTAGAATGAAGAGTTTAAAGTGAAGAGAAAAAGAAATAATAAAATTTATCGTATCATTAATTTCAATGAAGAAACTAAACTCGCACGAATCAACCCAATTAAAAAATATGGCAATAATTACGATAATATCTTTAAGCGACCAAAATTATTTAATTTGCGATTAAATACTGCGATGTAAAATATCAAATGTTTCATGAGATATAGAATTACATAATCTTCAAAATATTATAGCAATAATTTGAATACGTATATTTAAAAGAATATACTGTCTTCTTTAAAGTTTCTTTTGTTAGTCCGTGGAAATATATGAACATTAGAGCTCCTTTTGAATCTCCGTATAAAAATTCAATATATAGTACATTCTATAACTTATATTGTTTAGAACGTGAAAATGTGTTTAGTTAAATATCAATCAGCCTCACTAATGGTCCATTCATTCCTTAGATTATCTATAAGTTCCTTTACTTTCCATTGTATATAGATGTATTGAGTCATTATTACGTAGATTTGTCATCGGTGATTCAATAAACTACTCATCTCAAGTATACTACATAAATACGTACGAATAAGATGAAAGAGATGGCAATTTAAATTTAATCTATACTTAATTAAAATTTATTATCAAACTCCAGTTAAACAATAACTATAATAATTATATTATAATTAAAACTATTTTAATAACGTAGTATATAAAAAAATTGTCGTATCATTACGTGAACAAACTCTTTTGGTTTAGGTTTAAAATAGAATAAATGTGCTGAAAAGTAATTTTTTAAATGCCTCTATATATATGTATATATATATATATATATATAGTACTTTATAAAAATATTATACAATAAATGATGTTTTTTCTTTATTTGCCAAGAAAGATTTATAGAATTGAGGAGAAAGCGCTTATTTTGCAGGCATATTCCTTAGATAAAATAAATTACAATACGATTGCATCTATAGTTTTTCATTCAGGATATAGGCTTTGATCAAGCTTTGTGAGATACTTTTTGATATATGATAATAAAACACGTCTCAAAACTTGATACGTTGATTAGAAACGACTACTTTGCAAATGCTTATCTAAAAGTTTGCTTAAAAAAATAAGTAAAGTGGAAATTTATGTAATATATATATATATATATATAATATAATAATATATAATAATATATATATATATATATATATATGTATATATTGCTGCTTGTCGTTAAAATTATTATTTATTTAAAATTGAAGGTTAAATTAAATGTTGAATAAACAAAAAAGCGTGGCTATTATTATATCATGAAAAGTTTGTTTTACTATTGTCGAAATTACTTTTCAAAAGTTTACTTTTTTCTATTATTTTACTTTACTTAGGCGATAAAAGCTATACATAATATATATTATATACATATATATATATATATATATATATATATATATATATGTTCTGAATAAATCTGAAAATATCGGGCGTCGATGTTTAGCATTTCATTTCCAAATATTACGAGTACATTCTCGATGAAATCGATATTAATCTAGGCCACGCACTCTTTTCAATAAATAATATAAATTCGATCGATAAATATTTATCAACATCGAAAAGTTATTCACTGTAATTCATGTATATATATACATATATGTATATATATATATATATATATATAATTTATCATATATGTGAATTGTGATGCAAGAAATATTCCCAATATATAAAATATATAAGATATTAAGTATTACGAGAGCTCTAATTGGCCTTACGATATCTCAAAGAAGTGAAAAGTTTTTTAAACACACACGAAAAGACAAAAGAAAAATAAAGAGTCAAATACTCGTAAGCAACTGCTTTGTAAAAATTTTTAAAGGGCGTAGGTAGAATGATTGACACGTCTCTCTGATATCAATGGTATACTTGGCCGTATGGGCATGCCCGCAAGCATGTTTTCGAGTATAAATCTAGATATTCTCGTTAGTATTCCTACCGCTCGCACGGTATCATTTTTCAATCTGTCTTCTCTTCAGTTTCGCAGCCTCACGCAGCGTATAGAACAGCGTCGTCACTCGACACCCGCTGACAGAGGCTCAAAAAAAAGAAGTGCAGCCGAAAGGAGCCCGAGAGCAGTCAGCCGGACAAAACCGCCAAGCGCTTCTGTACGGGCGATTCTGTACGAGGATCCGCCCAGTTGCCGGGCATTAGGGCAAGGACGAGGGCTAATTTCATTGGTGGTGGTGTGCTCGCTGGCGTCGGCATCCGAGCCGAGATCGTCTCGTTTGCCGTTCGACTCGGTGTCCACCCATGCGCGAAGCATCGCGGCAAGGATGATCCAAGAGGGCTGCTCGATCAGCGCGCGGCCGACCAGCGAACTATTGCCGAGCCTTGTCATCCCAGGATCTTCTCATCGGAGGTAATTGAATGCCTCGAGACTCGGGGGCGGATTCTTTGCGGTCGTTTTGCTTGGGGACGCCTCGGCTCGTCAACGCTTTAAGAAAGTTGAACGCGACAGGCGGTCCGCCGATTGACTTCGCACTCCTGACATGTCCGCTCCTTTCCAATCTAGAGCATCTCCGTTTTATTTTCAAATCCAAGCATGAGAGTATCGATCCTTCAAGCTCGAATTTGCATCTTCATTTCGCGCTTTAAAAGCAACCGACTAGGCGACGCTCAGAAGTTCATCCATTCGCATTATTATTGTCGCTGTATTAATGTTTCATGAATAAATAATAGTATGAATAATTTGTAAGAGAAACATAATATAACGATGTTTATTAACAGAAAGTAATCTTGTAGAAGAGAATAATTTTCTATTGCTTAAATGACTTTTGCAATGGAGATGAAACGCTCGGCTCCGAGTCAATCAAACGCTCCAAGTTATAATTTCGTTCGTAAAAGTGATTGAATCTGGATGAAGAAATTAATTTTCAACTTTTCAATTAAAATTAAAAATTTATTTTTTTTTTTTTTTTTTTTTTTTTTTTTTGTTGGTCGAGGAAAGTGTATTGGATGGGACATCAATCATTATGGGATGTATTATATAATACGTGCATAGATGATGATACTCGACAATTATTATTTTATACGCTAATCAAATGAAAATAAAATTAAGGCAATTAAAATGAATGTGGCATTTCAATTTATAATTATTAAAATGCAATTTATCCTCAAATGCCAATAGAATGTTTCATTTGTTAAGCGTGTCTCAAGATATTGCTTATAATTTATATAATTATGTCTCATTAATTTCTTTATGATTTTAAACTGCATTATATATATATATATATATATATATATATATATATATATATATTAAATTAACGAGAAATCGATATCTATTGAACCAGACAGCTTAAATACATCGTACTCTATGCTAATTACTCCATTGAGCAAATGAACTTAAAAACTTTATACGAATGTATGATAAAAAAAAAAAAAGAATAAAAAATACGTGAACTCGACTATCGTTTAACATTAAGGTAAAATTATTATTATAAATATCGAACGATATCCCTTATCAATAATAAATTATAATCAACTACTTACATAATTTTTTGCTCGGTTATTAGAGATGAATATTATAACGTTGAACAAACGTACGAGTTAAGGCGGAATGATGTGACTTCCGTTCCCAACGAGAAACGGGCAAAAATAGATTACCCGTGTGTCAACAAAATCCTGATCTTCTCATTATAAGTACAAATGATTTAGTCACTAAGCGCGTCATGAACTCTGAGCGAAAATCCATACGGAAACGTGGCTGACGTTATTTTTCAGGGGCGATACGTGAAAAAATCTTGATAAAGCGAGAGGAATAGGCAAGGATGAGCAGCTGCGCATCGCATCGTTTGGCTGAGGTTGCCGTCGGCCTGGCGATCCTCCTCCTCCTGGCGCTACTCGTCGTACTCTGGACCGGATCGAGTGCCACCTCGGGCGAGCGGACACGTAATTTCGGTCACAACGCCTCCTCCAGCTTTCAGGACGACCAGGCGATATCGAGCAAGGATTTACTGCGAATGCAGGAGACTAGCGAAAATGACAGTAAGTCTGGTAATCTACGCCTTATTATATGCAGACCGTTTAAAATTAAAATAGACGGAGTCCTGATTAATTATCGCTGCTCATCTCGATTGAACGTTAAATGTTTGGCTTGTTGGGTTATATTGGTAAGTCCAGTTGGTGTGGACGACAACTCGAATGCACGGAGACGTGGATTCAACGAAATAATCTTTCATTGTAGGCTTAATTTCGTGTTAAATAACCATTGTACGCAACGATTATATTGATTATTTATCAATACTCAGAAGTATTCTTGAATGCCGATTCACGTTACGTATTATGCAATACAAAATAAAGGCAAAATTGCATTAAAAACTTTTTTAAGAATTTAGGAAACATATTTTACCAACATAATTTCAGTGAAATAAAATAGATTTAGTTAAAATATTCAACTAGAAATCTACTTTTATCATCAATCAATCCAATATAATTTTTCATGATTTTTAACAGAATATATACACAGACAGCTACGTCAAAATATCCCTTCGTGTGTTTCATTTTGCAAATATAGAATTAAATTTTTAGCAAAATGGCTTGAAAATGTTATTTTTATTGCTGAACGAGACTCTAGGCTATTTAAATGAAAAATATTTTATAAGAATTGATGAAATAGGATACCTATCATTTTGTTAGATTATGAATGATTTGGCCTTTTTTCTTTTACTCTTATACATTAACATTACTCTCTCACTTCCGACATTTACATGTATATTTATGCACCTTTTTGTATGGAATATTATATTAACTATATTGTATGTCTAATATTAAATTTATAAGTTAGTATATTAAATTTTAATATATTTTGTTAGCCTTATAAATTTTATACAAACGTGATTGATACATTTTCAAGCAGCTGAACAAATCTAAATCTTTAAAAATTGATTAATAATAGAATTATGATATGGTCAATCGACGAAAAAAAAAAAAAAAAAAAAAAAAAAAAAAAAACAACAACAACAAATTTAATCAAGTTCGAATTATAATGATTATTGTAAAAAATTAAACGAATATTTCATTATAATTGAATTATTGTCACACAAACATTTTTTCTCTAGGAGAAAGAATAATTGTTAATAGCAGTAATTAATTAAATGAGATTTTATACAATACAACATATTAGAAATTTGAAGATTAATGAAAACTTTCTAAATTTCTCTATACTATGCTGTGGTCTAGAACTTTATAATAAGAAATACGAACCTGAAATACGATATATTTGCTATTCTGCCTTTGTCAAAGTAACATTCAAATAAATTCATAATTTAATCCTAAAAATATTTAAGAGAAATAATGTGTCAGAGGCTACTTTAGATTTTTCTATTAATAAACGTAAATGATGTGAAAAAATTTATATTTGCAAAATATTAAATATCTACTAATATATTTAGTTTTATAGTAATATATTATTTTAGGTTTTGTAGTTTGCCCTATTTTATCTATATATAATATCTAATTAATTTGGAAAGTTGAATGAGTTGAACCAAAAATTTACTTACCAATGATTATTGCCATTGCGAAAGCCTAGTAGTATACGCTTATCTCAAGTAGATATCATACATTTTTATACGGTATGATAAATTAAAGTGCGTTCGTTAATAAAGTATTGAAGACTTAATTATACTTTAGAAAAGCTATAATAGCTAATATTCGCAGTTGTTGATTGGAGCTTAAATATTTACCTATTAGTGCCAATTCAGCGGTAAAAGAAATTGACGCCCATGCGCTAGATTATACAGATTTTATTTTAAATTGAAAAAAAAAAAAAAAAAAAGTCGATAATTAATCGAATGGATTTCCAGAGCTCTGTTGTAATCGATATGGTTAGATAGATTGAAATATCCTGCATGTAACCATATAGATCCTGCCCCACCTCGTTCGCAATACAAATCCGTATCAATTCTCAATAGCGCGAAACGACTCGATAATTTTTTCGCACTACGCGAGCTAATTTTACCGGGTGAATAAAAGGAGCTGAAATAATCAGAGCCGCCTCCCTGTTCATCGAACAAAGGATTATCATGGGTAGAAATGTATGTACTTTGCTCGCTCATGTAGCGTACACCCACGTATTTTGGTACGAGTTCTCGTCCCTCGCTATCGGTCGCGGTCCTTTAACAAATTTCGCTGCTCTTTTTATCCGGTTATGAATTTTAAATTGCAATGATGCGCGAGTCGCCGCACGCAAATCAAACCTGTTTCTCACTTGCACGTAAGCAAGTACGTGTACGCGTGTACAGAAAGAAAGAAAGAGACAAAGAGAGATGTAGATGCCTGGAAAACCAGTTTGAACGGCTTCACCTCCGCAATCCGTGCGACCGTACAGTCTCAACAGCATGGTGAAAAATCTTCTGTTTATGTGCATCTGTGTGCGCATTCTTACATGCATACTTACGGTATTTTTAGTCGTACGTTCCATGCGTGTGAAAATAGTATCGCGCACGGTAGATGCTTTCCTGCTCGTTCGGACGACATGCGCTAAACGATTCTATAAAACCGCGAAAGAAAGTTCCCGAGTGCCGCAATCTTGTGTGTAATTAAGCAAAGGCGTGCCGAATCAATTATATATGTCGCCGCACACAACGACATTGCGCCTATTATAATGATCTCTTGTCTCTCTCGTCTCTCATGTGCACAAGGGTTTAATGGCGTAAGACGGCTTAAAGACGCTTGGCCTTTTTGCGAATTAATCGAGTGCATGGACACGAGTTGTTTCGCCTCTAATAACAAATTTGTTTATTTTTCCATTTCTAACTCGTTTAGAAATATAAGCTAATGAGAGTAAAGTAGAACAGCAACGATGTGGGAACGTTCGTTAAAATTCATCATTTTCATTAATGAGTCGGAACATAATGCTATTGTATGAATGAGAAGGTGTCGAATGTAACTTTATCAATTCATTCGATAAAAGGGTATTTAAAAGAAATTGAATACGGGAATTCAATTCCAATGGGGCATTGCCGATATCGTACTATGCCTTTAAATTATATTTTTATAGTTTTAAATAAAAGCTTATTTTACACGAATTTGTCGTACCAAAAAAGTTCACGTATGAATTAATTTATTATTCTTAACCATAATAGATTAAAAACAATCGTTGTAAGTTGGTTTTTTTTTTCTTTCTTTTTTTAATTCTCTGCTAAATTTATATAATTCTTAAGTCCAGTGCTTACAAATTTATTGTATTAGTATTATTTTCATCGAACAACCAAATTTAATCGATATGGAAAACTTTATTACCAATACTAACTGATTGAGAAAAATGTTTCGTAATTTAGCTTCGTGCTTTCTAATATTTTAACTCTATTCCATCGAAAGGAATTATTAAGAACGATTAAGAATCTAAAATAGAATCAGCGTATTCCACGATGCTCTCCGCTTAAAAATCATATATTAGCTTTTGCATTCGGCAATTTTTGTAACACCCTTTTATTAGAAAAAATTAGTCAATTAGTTAATTTTAAAGGGGCCTCGCTACTATTGGCTACGATTACATTTGAAAAAGCAAAAATGCTCGGTAGATTTTATCGTACTACGCGATGCGCCATAGCTACACCAGCCACTCTGTCACCGATTTTATCCGCGTATCCATCCGCCTTCTCACTTTTATTCTCGTGTATATGTATATTACGGCGCATGTCACGTACAATATAGCGTTGACCTACAATCTGCTCATGCAGCTGAATTATGACGCCGACGTTGTGCTGTGTATAATAAAATGTAAAGTGGCGCATCTCGACATTTTTCGCGAGGACGTACCAATCGCACCCGCGGCCATGGAGCCACTGACTTTTGCTCCGGTTACACTTAGTATGGCAATTCGCGAAGTGCCAACGATAACACGCCGACTTATTATTATGCACATATTAAATATTTTATAGAAAATTCTGCGTATAAATCACGGTTATGTTGGATTATACAAGTAGGCTTCTGAGAACGAATGCAATGTATAAGCGATAATATTCTATAAACTGCGTGAAAAGGGTGTGGATTACAATAAAATCTGTGACAATTCGCCTGAAAAATTCTCTTGGCATGCGAGCTATTAAATTTAGAATGACTTTACTTGATATTTTCGATACGATAAAATATTTCGAGTCCTCGCAAATATCGATTGTCTCCCGGTTTACACAAGTGCCAAGATTATTAATTGATTATTAAGAAATAACGTATAACTTTCATTTTATTTATTAAAATTGCTTTTAAACGTTGGCATATTTTTTGACAAATTCTGTTAATATTGAATGTTAATTTGTTAAAAATATATATTAATTATTTGCCAAATAATCAACATTTCTCTCTCTCTCACTCTCTCTCTCAATCTCTCTAAATTATAGTAAACTAAAATCATTCAAATTATGTTTAAAGTATCGTAAAAAATCATTTCGTAATAGCACGTTATTAAAAACAAGCATTAAATGGGAATTTCTCAATGAAGATTGATTTGAAGCCAATGAATAGAATACATAAATTAATTTTATGTGAATAAATTATCACTGCTGGAACTAAAATTATTTTCATAATGGTTAATACGTGTATATATATATATATATATATATATATATATATATATATATTTCACATTAACAAAGTAGTTATTCTTAAAATATGTATAATAAATATTTGAAAAATTTTTTTCAATTTTAATCAGCAGTGGGAATTGAATCTGTGCTATTAAAAACAAATGTTTTTCATTAAAAATTTTCTATTAATAAAATCGTTTTCATATCATCTAGTAAAATTTTGTCTCAAATCTTAGCATATATACATATGTTTTTTATATTATAAATGTAACTCTTATTAAAATAGATATAAAAATGGAATTAATGCGTCTGTAATTTTTTCTTTTGTTAATTAAATAAGAATTTGGTTGAGTCTAGAGTACACACAAATTCCCATGAATCTTCAGGTATTTTCATACGAACCGAACATTCTTTCATATTCAATACCGATTATATGCACTGCAGATGCAACACCGACAATCC